TCGGTTTTCAAAGGACATTTTTGACTCTTTGCCAGTAATTCATTTACACCAAACTTTGTTAAAGCAAAGACCCTAATTCAAACAACATTGTGTAATGATGACGTCATGATGACGTCATCAGGTGTTTATTTATTGGCAATTAAATTGAGACACTTTTGATATTTAAAAATGCATAAGAAATCAACAGTACGCGTCCGCAGCATTCTGTTGCCGGCAAGTGGTAGAGTAGGTCGAGGTCTTTATTTCTTTCAGTGTGCGTGAAATCACGTGACCCTTGCTTCCGGTCGAAAAAGGCCAAAACCGGAAGTGGCTTATTATTTAAAAGTGGTAATAGATATGAACTTGCTTTCAACGGTGTTAGCCTCTTGGCTAATAGTATTCTTGAAATCATCTACCAATGACGTCATTTAACTTTCGAGCGCCCTCTAGCAACAGGTTGAAAATTTTCAAAAATGTATTTTGAATAGATGTCTGTGGCGAAGTTTGTCGGAATCGCCTAAATATTGGTGTGTATGATGACCTTGACCAACTTAAGATGTGTGCGAAGTTTTAGGCGTATGACGTCATCAGACCGGAAGTTCTGTTGAAAAGACCTTTCCTTTTTCAAAAATTGCTGACAAATGAATCCGTACAGATATAATCTTGAATTGCCCATTAAATGACAGCGTAAACATTTGCCTCAACAGTGCCAAGTTCCCAGCTTGTAAAAATGTTCAAACAGTTGACGCGGCGTGGGCAAAAAATACCCTTGCGCAAGTTGCGGCAGATAGGTTTAAACCATGCATAGTTCTTCCACATGTATAGCACGTACACGTGGCTTTGAAACGTCGTACAATGTACATTACGTCCCTTCATTTTCGCAAAAAGAGGGCAGTTCATAACTTTAACGGTTGTATTAGCTGTGCAAGGCCAGGCAGCGTAAAACGAGCGGGCAGCATCTTATTAACACTTTCACGGGATCAAAAGGATAGCGCGTTTACAAAACAAAATAACGGCACACCGTATTAAGTGAATGACCCACCATTCGCCAATCAGTAACTTTAATGATTGTACGGGTGCACAGGCTAAGCTATGCAACGCCTCGTTAGCCTGAACTGAACACTTTCACGGGATCAAAATAAGGACAGCGCGTCACCCAAAAAATATAGCGGCACACCGTAAAAAGTGAATGGCGCCCCCATTTGCCAATCAGTAGACTTGTCTCAGTGATTTTTGTTCTGCGTTAGGGGAAGGGCAAACAGACAGATGTCGTTCCTTTCTTAGTATACATGTAGATACCAAATCAGAAGCCATGATGATGTCATAATGGGACCCAGTGCATCATCTTAAAGGTGTACACTCTGGAAGTCCTAAATCTATATATGTGTAACAAAAACAACAACAGCACATAAAATAATAATGCATTCAAAACAGAAAAACATCACCTCAATTAAAAAAAAAATAATGCAGAAAACAAATTTCAAAGCCGTTGCACAAGAAGTTTTTGTTAAAGGAAATGACTGCACTAATTTATGTTATTGAAACTTCACACAATCATATTATTTATTCAAATGAGTACGTGCTCAGATGATTAGTCTCATTACACTCCACCCCCCCCCAAAAGGAAACAATCAGTTCAAAAAAATAGAAGACAAATTTGACTTATGTTTTATGAAGTATTTTATTGAAGAACAGGCTTGCTTGACGACTTGGTGGTTGCTACATTGGAAAAGGCAAATATGTAACAATGGCAATTGACTAAAATACCAATAATTCAAATGTCTACATGAAAGATGTCACCTATTTTAGTACATGTACTATCAAAATGTTTGAGAATGACAATATAGCTAATTTCTTAACACTTCAGAAAGGGAGGAAAAGACAAATTTCATCTAAAAGTAAGCTAAGTCCTATTTATTGTTACCATATCTGATATCCTTTTGTAATTGTTGAATCTTTTGGAAATGTAAAGGATTACTCACAGTATAAGTAAAAGGTTGTGTATATTTACTTGCTTAACAGAATTTGGCCATGGTCACCCTGCCTTTGCTTCGCTTGCCGGGACCTGTTTACAGTGTGCAAGGCCTGGACAGGGTCAAGTCGATTGTGCCCACCCCAACATCCCCCTTGTGCTGCTATGGTGGGGTAGCGAATTGTCTTTTCCCAAACTACATCCAGTAATAAAGGATTTTTGAGTGCCCTCTATGATACTTTTATTTGTTGACCGTGAGGCTATGGTTCTAAATTTCCAATATCCGTATTTATCCAATTTTTTCCATTTAATTTTAGGCTTTGGAGGATTTTCTTGTTTTTAAGGGAAATAAAGTCCCGAATTTCATTAGGGTCAAATTAATTTCTTGTGTTCTTATTTTGTATTTTGTCTCTTTTTTTTACAGAGAAGACAGTGAAGTCCAAAACGTCATAGTTTAAAGCCCAAAAAGTTGTACCGTATACCCCCATTGGCGATGTAGTTCGGGGGAAAAAATTGCCCCTGTGACTCAAAAAGAAGGTTTAACCTCAAAGTAAGGAATTTAGAAAATAAAGAGTGCATTAGAATCTTGTCATCGTGAGCAATTTTATTGAAAATACACTTGATAAATAACATGAGGAGTAACGTTTATAGCCCAAAAAGCAATAGATTTACACAAACAATTTACGGCGATTTAACAACAAAACAGTTCCAAATAGTTATGCTTCCTTAACCCATAATATGTGTCCTCTGAATATTTTGACATTGAGTATCCAAGTCAGATATGAACCAGTACATGTCAAATGCTTATATAACAAGAACATATCACAAAAGTGTCTTCATAAAGAAAATAGGAGCTTATACCCCTACCCCCCCCCCCAACACTACCAGAAACAAGTATTATAAAGGAGCAAGGGAAAACGTTTTCAAGAACAGGCCCTAGAATGCAGACGAGACTACATGTTCATATAGTAGGAGCATGGCACAGGAAATTAGCTCAGTAGACATTCACATGTAAATACACATGCCACTGCCCCTTTTAAAAAAAATTCAGCTAAGTAAAATATGTTCAAGCCAACAAACCACTATAATCAATTTTATGAGAACTAGCACATTTTTTTTCAATAATAACATTTCTGGTGGGTATTCTTGTCTTATGTCTAACAGTGGAATCAATTAAATATTTGAAATCAATGAAATTGAATATCTCAAACATTACAGAGTTGCATGTTGATTTGGTACAGAACATACTGTGTGCATATTGTCTCTTGCCCATTTAGTTATTTTCTGCATCTATTCAACTGCAAGATGAACTGGAAAATAACACAGATGTACTGTCAACGTATCAATCGCCATGTACATGTATGTCACTGGCGGTCAGTCAGGAACTGTCTCGCAGCCAACAGGGTTTTCCACTGCATGGATTCCCAAAAAAGAATGTTCACCAAGCCACATAAACGCATGTTCACCGTCTATCGTTGACGTCCTATTGTCCCTCTTTTGTTTGTACTCTTAACTTTTTTGGGAATCGTGGATAACATTGTTCTCTTTTGTTCTCTGGTATATTTGTCCACAGTTTGAAAAGATGCACACATACACTGTGTGACAGGTTTGTCATGAGTGATACTTTAGACAGAGTTTTGTGAAGACACTTTCCCATTTCATGTTTCTTAAGGTTCAAGTGAATGATATACATGTACATGTTGCTTGTAACAGCAGAAGACAATTTAGGGCCATTCTTGAATGCGTCATACATGTTTGGCAATTTGAATTCTAAATGCTGACTGAGATGGTAGAATCACTCAGTAACTCTGCCTTGACATGTTTGAAAGAAGGATGTCGGCAAAGCTTCATTTCAGCCGCTTATTATTACTGTACCTCCCTGAATAGAATAAAACAGAAAATAGTTCATCAGAAACAGCACAATACCAAATTCATGTCTAGCAAACTGCTCAGCACCTACTGGACACAATGACTTTGTACCTGCCTCATGCAAAAGTATGATATTAGCAGGGATGTGTTAAAGTCCAAAAGTGTACATTGTCCAAATTTGAAAAATCAAGGATAAGTTCACGGTCATTTGTTTTTACTTAACCTCTGTTTGCATATGTGGTTGAATTATGTTGAACTATGCACACAATGTTTAATTATTACTGAAATGCTTCAAGTATAAAGCTACATATATATAAGCATTATTATCTTCTTTTTAGAAGCATGTAATTGGAAATCTCCCTCCCCCTCCCCAAAAAAGTGTTTTACTTTAATGGCACAAATGGTCTACAAAACGAGGAAATCAGGTGATCCCAGAAAAAGTTGCATGCTTGTCATTTTAATCAAATCAAGACAGTTGAACACCGTGTGAATAACCCCTGTTGAGAGTTATGTGGTTCAGAGAAACCTTGTTCTTTTCAGAACCACACAAATCACAAAGACAGATCATTCACACAGTGCTACTACAAACCAGTAAGTTTTTAAAGAGAAGAAACATTAACAATCACCCCCCTACACCACCCTTTGGGACGAGGCCTATTTTCGCTCGCCTCGGGTCTGGTTCGCCGAATTTTTCAGAGACATGAATTTTACAATAGTGCACAGACATGTAGATTATGGTGTACCCTGTCGAAAAAGTTTGTTCCTGAATCCACAATTTGTTTGGGAATGAGAAAATCTGGGATAAAAGTACCGAAAATTCTACATGAGAAAAACATTAGAAACAGCGCCCTCTATTGATCTAGTCAGAAACCTTTTCTCACGCAATGGCCGTCCGAGCTCGGGCAGTCTGTTTTTGCCGCAAATATTTTTATTGTTCTCACAACTCGGACCAGGATCTCACCCCAGCATCCACCCGGGTTTGCAAGAATGACCTGCCCAAACTGGGCCAATGAGTGCTTGCTAGATGAGAATTCTTTCATTATTTCACATTATTTTTCATTATTCCAAATTTGTGTTATATCTTTGTTACAGTTTTGTCCATCATGAAATGTTTAAGTTTTGAATTTAAGATCAAATGTTATGTATTAGCTACATAAACATCGATTGGAATAGTTAAACCCCAGATCAGAACAACTTTGTAAACTCTTATCTTTTCTCAGGGTTACATGTTTGCAACAGTAATAGAAGTGCATGGCATCTGGTGCATATGGTTCAATTCCTGTTATCCAAGTCACTCTTGAACTGAACACAATGGAAAAAATCCCTAAAATCAAACAATCTCACTCACCTGAACAATTTTCAAGACTAACATGCACAGTCTGAGTCAAGCTGTTGGAGACCACACTGGCAACTGGGAGACAACATTTCGATTGGTGGTTGAGAACATCTACAAATAAGTCAATACAAGAAAATCAAATGTTTCAGGATCTATTGGGTTCAGTACTGAATGAGACTTGAAGATTTGCATGATGAACACGGTGAATGAATGGAAGGTTTGAAGTAACACCGTGTGAATGATATCTCTTGAATTTCAGGGCAGTACAACACAAATCACAAAGACAGATTATTCACACCATGATACTGCAAACCTTGCATTCAATGAGCTTTATTATTCAAATAAATATACACAAACCAGTAAGCTTTGTAAGGAAAAAAATAAATAAATAAAATATACCCCCAAACCCCCCAAAATCTACAAAGTTCACTCACCTGAAAAATATTAATAATACTGGCACGCAGAGTGATGCTGTTGGAGAGCACACTGGCAACTGGGAGAAACATGCAGATTTGTGGTTGATGACTTCTGCAAACAACAAAATCCAATGTTTAAGGATCTAATACTAATAGTTCCAGTACTCAAACAACCTATGTATACCGAAACTAGCAAGTCTGACTTTGACACTGGACCTCAGAATGCCAAAGATCACACCTCCGAGAAGCTTCAATATCAGATTTTGCTCTTCAGCAACAAAAACATAATGTAGATGTATACTCAGTGGGTTACCTCCTGATTGAAAGTTAGTAAACAATCACTCGGGTGGGACTTAAACCCACAACCTCATGCTTTCTACATCTGGACTAGAAAGCAGGACGTCATGTGTTTGAGTCCCATCCCAGGGATTGCTTTCTAACTTTCACTCGGAAGAAAACACACTCTACGTGTTTAAAGTGTTGATACATCGGTGAAGGGCAAAACCTAATATTGATGTATACATTTTTGTACAACGAAAATTCAACCCCACAAATAGCCAAAGAAACTTGTACTGCCACAACTCTTAACAAAAAGATTAAATGAGCTTTTCAAAGAGGAACATATACTGTACATGTACTTTACAGTAAGCAAAAAACAAATCAAAGTTTAACTTGGAAAACAGTGAATTGTAAGAGAAACAAAAGCATGCATCTGACATTAAAGTGGTACTTACATGTACTTACTTACTGCTGCACTTGACCATCAGTGAGTTGTAGTGACCTCCAACCTCCCTGATCAAGAGCAAAGGATTGGTGACAGCTACACAGCATCCACAACCTGCTTAAGCCAGGGAAGCCGGGGACGACCACGAGGCGTAGTCCAGGTGGCAGGTTGTTGGCCAAGGTGGAACTGGACGGCAGCATCAAGGGCAAGACGAGCAGGGGCAGGAGCTTGGAGACGCCGAACATGACCAAAAAGGGTGTGTCACCTCCCTCAGATCTCAGACAAAATGTTACCTGGATGATTGCATTGGAAATGAAACTGCACCATGAAACTCCAAGTATACAACACTGACACTGCATGTGGAAAGCTTGAATGCGTTCTTGTTCTTTCATGCGCGATAAAACCAAAGTTTACCAAAAGACTAGCCTTGCTTCTCCAAAGACAATCAAGTTAGCCCATGATGGTACTGGCGATGCCAATTCTGCATAGTATGTCCTTACTGCAGAAACCTGATGAGTCGATAGTGCACTCAAAATAACAAAAGGACTCAACAGATTCGACAACATCCCAATCCAGAGAAATTTGAACAGGTGCTGGACCGCATAGTGACTGAACCTTGGTTTTAGTCCATGATGGTTTAGGCCCACGTAAATGGCTTTACGGTCAAAGGTTGCGAGAAGTTCTCCCCATGTGGTTGGATCCTTTGAAGAGAGCAGCATCATCTGCAGACAGGAGGTCGGTAAACCTGTGATTGCCTGCATTGAATCCTCACACTGTGACAGGATAGTGTCCATGGCTAAGCAGAACAAGGTTGGTGCCAGCACACAGGACTGCCGAACTCTGGACGAAGGAGAAAGAAATGTCGTTGCCAACCTTGACCCTGGTAGTCTTTCCAGTGGGACAGGGTTTCATCCACCCAGTTGCAGGGAGAACGATCTGCCTTGGAAATCAGAAATGAAGCTGAATGCTTGCTACATCCGTGAAGACACTTGACTGCCTTGAAGGCGGGGCGGAGATTATTTTGTTTCAGGCCAGCTTTGGCTTCAGAGACAACAGAGTCGTACCAAGCATCAAGGTCTTGCTTCGCTTTGGCCTTGTACATCCCCACCAGACAGTTACTTTCAGCATGGTGGCAGCTCAGACGAGCACCACATTTATGCTCTATGATGTCAATGGTCTATCCGGTGAGCCTGGGGACGCTGCTTTGAAAGACAGGAACGAACAGCAGCCTCAACGGCACCAAGAACTGTATCACGGTACGGGACCCAGGAGTCTTCAACAGAGTTGGACAGTTGATCAAGAACATCAAAGCAGTTCCGAACCTCAACAGAGTAGTTCGTGACCACTAGAGGGTCTGTTGGAAGAAGATGGTGGTCTCGGCGCCATTTGGGCAAAGTCTTCTTGGTGAAGTGGTACAAATGCCAATAAAATATCAGACACATTTATTCTCACACGATTAGTGCTTGCAGGGTGTAGGGCCACAGTCTAACCTGCTGATCGTACAGCAACTTTGAAATACATGCGCAAGTTGCACCCTTCACCTATTGACAGGAAAATGTAGCCATGTTGACAGTTGACTGTTGAGTTTGTCTTTCGCACTGATGACTCAATTTGTGGATGAAGCTACAGTGTATGGGGGGGGGGGGGAGAGGTCCAGGTGATCTAGCTATGGGGGGGGGGTATCCTGCCCAAGACATCTTTATTTCATGGAGATGGCCTCGATGCTGGTTACCTCAAATGCTGGTGGCCCTGAGGACATCAATGTTAATGACGAAATAACTCCATGAAAACTTGACAATGGTGTAAGCCAACACTCACTGAAATGCTAAATGAGCCACACTCAGCATCGTACAACAGAGAAGTAGGTGATACTAACGTACTGCACTTCAGAATACAACTTCATGATCTGCATGAAAAATATTACTCATATTTGACTATCAAAATGTTTAAGTTATTACCAATACATATAAAGTGCACATCAATTGTACATGTACATTGTATATCTGTTTGAAAGACGTGCATGAGGACAAAATGATTCAATCTGTAATTATTAAAGCTTCACACTACTAGACAACAACCTATGAATGTTATTTCAACTAATGCAGCTCAAATGTCACTAACCACTTCTACATGCATTCTGAAATTTCAGAAGAGAGGTGGTTCCCAGAACGCATTTATGCTTTTCATGCACAAAATCACTTTTTGTTCTTGTGAATGTATTCTAAAATATTATATCAGATGAAAATAACTGCTGAGCAACAAGTCTATTACGACTGTGTGGACAGTAGAGTATCTGTAAAATATCGATACAAAATTAAGTTTACATGTGTAGCTCTAATCACTGGCCATGTTCAATTCAGGCATAAATATTTGTGACAATTAACCTCTGATTAGTGCTAACATTCAAGACAAACATGTAGTTGTATATGCACTTTGGACCACCACGGCTTGCACAAATTGTTGTCCACTCATTCAAGATTTGCAGATTCACTGCTATTCTCAAATGATGTGCAACTCAGTTCTTTTTGTTGTACATTACAATACCTGTATTTCCTGACTAACAAGTCTGTGACAAGTGCATTGAAAATATGACTTCAAAATTCTAATGACCTGTACTCAAGGCATACATTATACGTACACATGTACCAGTATGTTTCCTCAATCAACGCCCCACCATCATACAGCATGTCAATGTTTTCAAATAAATAACATACACATCTAGAGCTATACAAGTTCATTCATGTATATTTCATGATTTCATTAACATGCAATTTTTGACTTCCTTTTATTCTACAGCAATCCTCTGAATCAACCAGTCAGTTTTGAAGGCTTTTACAAATTCAATGCTGTATGCCATTTCAATGCATGTCTTGCACGTAACCATGATATTTTTTCCAGAAGGGAGCAAGGCTCTCCAATCTGTGTATACTTATTCCAGTATATTCTCAATTCATCATTGTTTGCAACCTGGTGGGTGGGCATATTTTCCACCTCCTCTCCATTGACACTCTTGCACACAAGAATATTGTTTAATGTGCATTAAATTAACACCAAAATGTGACTTTGCACCTCACAGGTTTTTTTAAAAATATTTGTAAGAAGGGGAGAGGGGGGGGGGCACGTATTGCTCCACTTGCCCTCCACTCCCACTCATACCGATGGCGCCAGTTGATTTTGAGGATGTACATGTAATGTATCCAGGTCTTAATGAGCTACGGTATTTTGTGGTATTTATTTCTATATTCTACATTAAGGCTTAAGTACAAGCACATTTTGTATAATCTGTGCTGCTTCTGTATCAATAATAATTCCTCATTGAATTTTAAAATTGTACTCAAACTTGTAGTGGGAGGGTTTTGAAGGATTGAGGTTGTTTGCAATTTTGCGTGATGAGTGTTTTGAAAGATTTCCTGATAAATCCAAACCAAATGTTCCTATATACATGTAGACAATTCAACTTCAACATTATGGAAAGAAAGTGTTACATGTTATCATAATTAAAAACTCAATAAATCACAACCGTTATTACGCACACTGTCACTATTAAATTGACCAAATTGATCCTACATGTACATCACAGAACTGTCAAAAAGTCTGGGTAAAACCATGAGTTCACATTGACATTTTCAAAGTCCAATGTTTTAGAATGTCCTCATTAAAACCTAAATTATATTGTTATGGAGACTGCTTCATGGTAACTGTAGTAAGTCGGAATCACCTTAGCATCTACTGTATCCATATTTCTTACATATACGTGGTCAATCAATGTGCCATTTTCTGTAGTTTCATCATTAACACATTGTCTATAACAAAACTCTTGCATTAACTTTTCAATCCGTGAAGAGTGTTTCAGAATGTCTTCATTAAAATCACCCATTACAATGCACCTATTTGACACTTTGTGAAGTTCATTAAGCAGTATTTTAATGTTGCCAAGAAATTGATCCATTGAATATGAAGCTGGACGATAAATTACTACCACACAATATGACATCTGACTAATTATCTGAAATGCAATGTGTTCTAGATTCTCAACAGGAAGAAATAGTCTGCTGAAAGCTCTGTTCCTTCTACCAAATACTGCCACTCCTCCATGACACTGTTGCTTCAACATCTGGGTTAGTTTATTTGTATTATCATATGAAGCACTTCTGATCTGATGATAGCATTTGAATTCACTTAATTCTACATGTATGTCATTGTCAGGGTATTCCTCATCATCGATCCATGTCTCGGTAAGACAAATAAAATCAGATTTCATCATTTCCTGATTACATTTCAGGTCCATTTGATGTTCTTTTAATCCTTGAATATTATGCATTCTAATTACAGTCTTGTTAGATTTCTCTTCCTGTACACATTCTTCTGCATCAATAAATTCTTGCATACTCTTCAATGATTCCGAAACCGCCTTGTTACAGTAGATATATTTTTCATCAAACCCTTGAATCACAAGTCCATGCATTGATGTGACTCTGCTCAGTGCAACATAAGCTTGTCCAGCTGAAAATGTATGTTCAAGTGAAACAACTGCTCTATCTGTTGTCATTCCTTGCACTTTGTGAACTGTGCATGCCCAGGCTAATTTTAAAGGAAACTGCTGTCGAACACAATTCTTACTGACATTTTCCTCTTCCTTTTGAATTGGAACTGTGTCTTCTTTATTTGACGCTTTGTATTTTCTTTTCAACTTAGATCCAACATCTTTCTTATCAAACTGAACTTCAATGCACTTTGGCCAAGATTTATCAGGCAGCATAATAATTGCACGTACTGTGCCAAATACTCCATTCACAAGTCCATCTGATACATCAATATTCTTAGTTAACATTACTCTAGCACCAACACCTAACCACAATGATTCAGGCAGGTTTGTGTATGTTGATTTCTTAGGAACCTTTACCCTTCCTTTCGCATGACCTTTACTAGCATCTTTCTGAAAATCCTTAGCAATAATCAATATACAATCAGTACAGGTTGCAAGGAGTGTCTGCGTATTGTATTCATCCACTTGTTTGTTACATGGGTAGATATGTAATGCATCATTCCTATCCTCTGCACTTTCACACGACTTCAATAATGTTACATCATCTTCAGATAACTTTTCCTTCTTACTTTTCAGTCGCAACCTATTCAGTAGTTTTGCAAACTGTACATCATCTTTTTGTCGCATGATTTCATTTAGTTCCACTTTCTTGAAATTATCATTCCATAGATCTACTGGGAGTGCTTTCTGATACAATGCTTTTCCTTTGACTGGCGGCAATTGATAAAAATCTCCAACAGCTAAAATACTGATGTTACCAAAAGGATTATGACTACGTGTCTGTTTCATCTGACGCAAACGTCCATGTATATAACACAAAATCTTGTGATCCACCATCGATATTTCATCTATAATCAAAATTTGAAGATCTTGTAACGTGTTCCTCAGTGTATTCAATTTCTCTTCTCCAAGTGGTTGATATGGTAATCTCGCATCAACAGGGATTGAAAGAGCACTGTGAATTGTACTACCATTGACATTAAAAGCAGCTACTCCTGTAGGTGCAACTATCAACACTGACATATTGTCTGGATTTTGAACCATTCTAGCAAGAAGTCTTGTTGCTTC